CCTTCTTTCTTTCTTTCTTTCTTTCTTTCTCTCTTTCTTTCTTTCTTTCTTTTTTGAGACAGGGTCTCTCTGTGATAACTCTAGCTGACCTGGAACACACTATGTAGACCAGGCTGGCCCAAACTCAGAGATCCACCTACATCTGCCTCCCAAGTGCTGAGTTTAAAGGCATGAGTCCTAGCTAGACTAACTTCCCTTGGTAATTCTTGGCACAGCAGTTATAATTGTTTGGTTGGAGCCTCTGGCTCACCCCTGCATTGTCCTGGAATCCCCATTCCCTCCCCACCTCTCTATCCAAACTCTGCCACTCAGTCTCTGAAGAAAGGAAAGACGCCAAAAAGCCCAGTTTCCTCATTCTTAATGGCTACTGCAACTTCCTTCCCTGAAGTTGCCTGTTGACCAAATCCCCACCTAACCACTCAGCTTTTGACCATACTTGGGCGAAATCCCATCTTGTGGTAGAAACATCATCACTCCTTGCCTACAGCCTATAAAACTTTCCCACCTGTCTTGGGTGTGCGACTTCTCTGGTCTCCATTCCTGGAATCCAAGAACCTGCCCAGGAGGCGTTGCTTTGCCCAATATACCTGTTGTTATACTTTTTCAATTCAGCTTAATCTGGTTTACTGCATTGGCAGAGAAACTTATTATGGGGGAGGGGCAGAAAACCCATTAGTAATGAGCTTTCTAAAAATAAAATCTGATCCATCTCTGCCTTATAAGCTGTAGGAGCTTCCCAGCGTCATAGGATAGAAATGCAATGCAGGCCTGCATCACTTCTGCTTTCTTGCTGGGGGGGGGTCTTTTCTTTTTACCCTTCAAGCTGTGTCTGGCCAAGCCAAGTGTCCCTACTGAGTGCTTCCATAGTTCCCCACACCTACTGACTTGTCATTTTTTTTCTTTTTTTGATTTTTCAAGATAGGTTTCTCTTGCTTTGGAGACTGTCCTGAAACTCACTCTGTAGACTAGGTTGGCCTCAAACTCACAGAGATCCCCCTGCCTCTGCATCCCAAGTGCTGGGATTAAAGGTGCGCGCCACCACTGCCCGCCCTAACTTGTCATTGTTTGTAAGTAAATATTGGTATGACTATTTCATTCATGTCTGAAACAGAAGATCTGTCTGAGCTATTCATAGCTTGTAGTAGTTCAGTATGGATGTGCAGACCAGACACAAGCTTTTACAAAAATGGAGGAAGAAGGGATTACCTGCCTAACTGGAAAAAGACAAAGGCAGGAGCTGGTGGAGTTATTTTCCGAAAGACACACGGTCAGAACCTGCCCTGCCCTGGGTGTGAACGGTGAGCATGGAAACACCAGTCCTACACTGCCTAGAACCTGCAGAGCTTGACTGGAAGCTAGCTCGGCTGGTCACACCTAATGGACTTTGATGAAATGGAGGTCAACGTTTTGACACCAGAATTGAGTCATTTCCCAAAGTACAACACCTTTTTTTTTTAAAGATGCATTTATTTATTTATTTATTTATTTATTTATTTATTTATTTATTATGTAAACAACATTCTGCCTCCATGTATGCCCGCCTGCCAGAAGAGGGCGCCAGATCTCATTACAGATGGTTGTGAGCCACCACGTGGTTGCTGGGAATTGAACTCAGGACCTCTGGAAGAGCAGCCAGTGCTCTTAACCACTGAGCCATCTCTCCAGCCCTACAACACCTTTTTTTTTTTAAAAGCTCCAAATACTTTTCAGATAACATCTGGCAAGTGAAACACATTAAAATTTCCCCAGAAGTAAATTTGGAGATTGGTGATAAATTATGAGAAACTTTGAGGAAAATTATTTAGGAAGATTAGGAAGCTAATGAGCACAAGAATTGTCCCGGGAGGACAGTCAGTCAGTCACCTGAGGAGGAAGAGTCAGATGGAGAGAGTAAGGAAACAAGGCTGAGGTTTTGAAGGGTTGGGGACACAGATGGAGAACAAGCAAGGACCCTGGGAAATACCCAGATCTATTCACTCCAGATAGGATACCAATGGCAGACCAAAGAAACCATCCCATCAAGCATAGCTTGGTGAGCCAGCTTGTCGCAATTGCTTGTAGGAGTGATTCAAAGGCAGCTGCATCGCTAAAAAGCCAATCCCAGCGTGGGTGACAAATCAGGACAGTTGCATCCTGGAGCTATAAGCCTAAATTACAAACCCCTCTATCAAAGACTGTCTTTTCTTCCTCAGAACTTATATATGCACTCTGTTGTTGTTTGTTGGTTTGGGGTGTTGTTTTGTTTTGTTTTGAAACAGAGTCCTTCTACATAGCCTTGGCTGTCCTGGAACTCAAAGACTGGCCTCAAACTTACAGAGATCCTCCTGCCTAAGGCATGCACCACCATGCATGGCCTTATATAAACTCTTAAGTAGCGGCTTGTAACTTTGTGAGCCTCCTGAGTCTTGTGAGTCACTCTCCCTCCAGGGAGGAATGTTTTAATTCAGACTTCACAACATGAGGTCGGGGAATGGAAGGGCCAGGCACACTAGAGTTACTGACATCAGAATCTTTGATCTGGGATAGTGAAAGACTAGAAAGTGAAAACTTATATATATATATACTGCATTCACATGGATGACAACAGAGAAGGAGAGAGGTGATCTTAGAAGGAAGACAGGTGGTCAGGGTTCCTGGTGGAGCAGTCGCAGGAGCGACTCCCAGAGTGTTCAGAAGGCAGAATTGCAGTAGACAGACAGGAGCATACGGCCCCACTTTTCTGGGGCTGGAAATAATCACAGTGGGGTCTGAGCAGCTAGCCCTCCAGGGCTGTGATTCTACCCTGCCAAGCAGAGCAGTCAAGTACTCTGCCTTCACCACCCCCGTGCCTCTGAAGGTCCCTTTGGGCCATTAGCAACTGAGCCTGATCTAGCTTAAGAAACAGAGACATTAATGTGAGAAATCCACTAACATGTACAGGGTCTGGACTTAGGGAACCAACAAGTAAACACCTGCTGTGTGCATGCCTATCCTTCTCTTCCTGCTGTCCTCCTACCCATGTGCCTGGCGAGCGCTAGCTACGTAGTTCCTCCCTACATGCGCAGTCAGCTCATTGATCACCCTCATCCTGAGACCCCAAAGTTCCCATTTCTCATGGAAGAACATGAATGGCCACCTTGAGTCAGTGACTCCTCCATGCATGACTGTCTGCCTGGGGTTGAGGTACTCCCAGAAAGGCCACTGCAGACTGGCACTTCCGATGATCATTGTCAGCAACTTGTACCAAGAGACTAGGTTAAAGACAGAAGGTCAGAGATTAGCCACAGGAAACCTGAGAACCACAGGCTAAGGAGACCCATGTGGGCACCAGCCCTGTGAGCCCGGGTAGAGACCCCACTGTGGTTGTGAAGTCAAGAAGTGAACCCCTGCAGGTGGCTGCTGGGAAGGCTTAGGGCAGCCTTCCAGCAATGTGTTTGTCCCAAGGTACAGCAGGCAAGGGACAGGAGCAGGCAGCTTGTGGCCTCCTAGCAAGTCATAACACCACAGACATACACTGCCCAATTTTGTTCTCAGAGCAAAGGAAAAGTCTGTGAAAGAGGAGCCCAATTTCTTAGGAAGGATGAGCCGGCCGTATGACTCGATGGACCCGAAGGTGATGGACGATGACATGCTCAAGGCAGCTGTTGGGGAGCAAGGCCCCCAGGAGGAGGCTGGGCAGCTAGCCAAGCAGGAGGGCATCCTCTTCAAAGACGTCCTATCCCTGCAGCTGGACTTCCAAAGTAAGTGTCCTGGGTGCCAGGAGTGTGGCCTGGGGCAGCAGGGCCTCCCTGACTTTCTCTGCCCTGTTTCAGATCCCCAGATTTCACAGAGTCAGGGATCATTGCATGGGGTATTGGACCCCATCAGGCACAGGGATGAGGGTATGCATGTGCATCAAATTCATCCAGAAGCTCCATAATTTGTCCACAATACTCCTGATTCTGAATAAGAACAGAAAAAAAATAAGATAGGATTAGCCTGCTCCAAATTAAGTGAGCTTCAGGGACCATGTTTTCTCTATTGTCTGACCCTGCACTGACTTGGAATGGAGTCCTTCATATGCAATGAAGTCCTTGGAATGGAGGGATCACTTATGGACAGAACCAAGGAGACCCCACATTTCTGGAGTCAGCACTGGAGGGAGTGCTTGGGGGGCTGGGTAGGGTGTCCAGAGAGAAAGGAAGTAGAGAGCCCTGAAGCAGGGAGTCACCTTGAGAGTGACAGGGCAGCCCAGTGGAAGCTATGGCTCAGGACAGGCAGAGACTTACTGTCTCAGTGTCCCTATCTGTGAAACAGGAAGTAGCTCCTTGTCTCAAGTTCTGGCTGGGAAGCTAAGTGAGACAACATGTACACAGTACCTGGGTCATGAGTATGACCCAGTGAGCCAGGACAGAAGGAGTGAGAGGGAGGAGGGAGCTTAGCTTGGTACACATCTCAGTACTCGGGAGGCGGAGGCAGTAAGACCTCCAGTTCAAGACACAGTGGGACCCTATCTCAAAAATATAAGGACTGAGCAGGGGGTGGCTGGTTCAGTGGTTAAGAGCACTGGTTGCTCTTCCAGAGGATCCAGGTTCAATTCCTAGCACCCACATGGCATCTCAGTCATCTGTAACTCCCAAGGATCCAGTGCCCTCTTCTGGCCTCCACAGGCATTATATACATGTAGTACACAGACATATGTACAGGCCAAACCCCATGTATATAAAATAAAATTAAAGAAATATATATATATATATATATATATATATATATATATATATTTTAAGTGAGAAAATTGTTCAGTGGTAGGAGGCTTATGATGCATGAAACTCAATCCCAATACTGCCAAAAAGAGGAGCAGGAGAAAGGAGGAGGTGGTCAAGGATCCTGAGCCCTCTGTTTCTGAGTAGGTGAGGACCCAGAAAGTGACCTGATGTCTTAGGCCGCAGCTGTCTAGGTATTTGGTCAACATCAAAGATGCAGGGTCCCATGCCAAACCCTGGAACAGCAAGCAGACCTGGCCTTAAGTAAGTCCACAGGACCCCTGGGTGTGGCCTCCAAGGAAGTCCCAGAGCAGCAGCTTCTCTGGGAGGAGTGAATGAGGAGCTACTTCCTCCCCGCCTTCCCCTCCCCTTCTAATGGGCATTCTGCCAGTGCTGAACGAGTGCCTAAGAGATGCCAGATGCTATTCCAGGCACCCAGATTTAGCACAGTCCAAAAGACAACCTTACCTTTGTGGAGATGGTGTGAGGGAGACAAAGAAGACAAGGAAATTAGATCGTTACAGGCAGTATGTGTTGTGGGGAAAAAGAAAGCAAAGAAAGGAGAAAAGGGAAATCAGAGTTGGGTGCAGTGTTTTCTGCAGTGGCCAGAGCCTTGCCAAGGTGAGAGTTGAATAAATACTTAAGGAGATGAGGAAAGGAACCATATGGAGATCTGACGGCATGTTGGGGGGGGAGGGGGTAGCAACCAGTGAAAGGCCAAGAGGTAGGCCAGAGCCAGCCTGAGAAGGCCTGCTGAGGAAGCCAGTGTGTGGTCATATCGTCAGCAGGTGCTTGCCTTGGACAATGAAATGTATTTGGCTTTTATAGTGAGTTGGGACTGCCAAGTATATTGGGTAGAAACAGGATAGAGTGGGACTTGAGTTCTCATAAACCCCTGCTGGCTACATGCAGGGGTGGGGGAAAACGGGAATCTAGCAAAATGGTTACTACTGTGGTGATGATGGCCTTGCCAAGATGGTGGTCACAGGAGTGGAACTGGTGACTGTGTGGAAGATTAACCCAGCTTCTGGGTGGGAAGTTCATCTGGAGCGGTCAGATATACCCTTGTTCATTGGGGTATCTGGGCCTTTCCATGTCACCTGTTGTTGCCTAAGGGCAAGTCAGGTACAGGTGTGTCATAGCCACCTACCAAAAGTGTCCTAGCTGGAAGCCACCATAGCAAAGGGTGAGTCAGGGCTGAGTTTCCGCCTGTCAGACAGCAGGGCCACAGTAGGTGCCAGGAAAATCCAGACCAGAAATAGGAGGTGGCTAAGAGCCTTGGGCTGAACTTCCAGAAATATGTAGAGACAGAAACAGAATTAGTTTGGGAAATCTGGTAGCAAACAGAGACCTAAACAACAGATTCTTGTACCACCTGTCCCTGAGGACATGGAGGAAATAGAAGGTACCATTCCAGCCCCAAGGGGAAAGCAATGGATAGATCAGAGGATCCTGTGTCCCCCCCAAGACCCGTGAAGGGGTCAGAATAGCCACACACACCAAATCTCAGAGCCTCACCAACAGACCCCATCTCTTGGAAAAATGTGAGCTGTCACTAAAATTTTGTTTTGTATTGGGGATTGAAGCTGGGGCCTTGGGCATGCTACACAGGTATTCTACCACTGAGTTATGTCTTCAGGCTTGTACCACCTTTTGCCTGGTGCTTGCAGAGGTCAGAAGGTGGTGTTGAATCCCCTGGAACTGGAGTTACAGATGACTGACTATTAACCACATGTCGGGACCAGGAACCAAATCTGGGTCCTCTGCAAGACCAAACAAGGGCTCTTAACCACCAAGTTGTCTCCCCACCACCACACCTGCCCCAAGTTCTCTTTTTTTTTTTCATTTTGAAACAGACTCTCACTGAGCTGACTGGCATTAAACTTGTTAGCCTCCTGGCTTAGCCTCCTGAGTAGTTAGGATTATAAACCTCTAGCACTAGTCCCAGCTGGTTCTTACTGCATACCCCAGGCTAGACTCACAGTCCTCCTGCTTCAGCCTCCTGATACAGGTGTGCACCCCCATGCCAGGCTCTTAATAGTCCTTTGAAGACTGCCTTCACACCTATATCATTTCATGTCTTTAAATGAGTATAGTCTAAGACTAAAGTTTTGGAATAACGGGGTGTGATGGCTATTCTTGGTGGTCAACTTTACAACCTCTGGAATTAACTAGAACCCAAATGCCTGGGCACACCTGTGAGGGAATTTTTTCTTAATTAAATCATTTCAAATGGGAAGACCAACTTTTTCTGTTTTTATTTGCTTGTTTGTTTGGTTGTTTTTGTTTTGTTTTGTTTTGTTTTGGAGACAGGGTTTCTCAGTGTAGCCCTGGTTGATCTGGAACTCACTCTGTAGACCAGGCTGGCCCTGAACTCACAGAGATCTGCCTGCCTCTGCCTCCTGAATGCTGGGATTAAAGGCATGTGCCACCATCACCTGGCAGATTAATTTTTAATCCAGATTTTTGAGGTGGGAAGATCTACCTTTAGTCTGGGTCACACCATCTTCTGGTAGTCTATATAAGGACAAGGAAGCTCTTTTTTTTTTTTTTTTTGGTCTGCTTGCCCTTACTCTGCTGGCAAGTCTATTCCTTCACTGGCATTAGAACCCACTTCTTCAGGATTCCAGCATATACTGAAGACCAACTGAGGCACCCAGACTTATGAACTGAACAACTATTTGATTCTTAGACCTTCTTTTTCCACTGTGGCTCACAACTGTCTGTAACTCCTGTTCCAGGGGATCTGACGCCCTCTCTGACCTTTACAGGGTATTGCACATAGCATACACAAAGTATACACACATACATGCAGGCAAAACACGTATACATTTAAAATAAAAATAAAAGCAGGATTGTTTTTTTCAGCTTTGGAGAAAGCATAAAAACAAGTAGAGTTCTTTAAGTTGTATTTGCACACAGCAGCGACTACGTGTGGCTTACGAGGAAAGCTGGGAGGCGCTGAATTTGTTCCGCTGACGTCCAAGCTTTACGTACTCAATATGGGCTTCTTTATACTATTCAGAATGCTTCTTGCTTCCAGTGACAAAAGTCAAGCTTTGGCCATTGTGACATGCCCAGGGAAAGAATGGCTACATGGCCAGGCTGAGTCCTCTAACTGCAGGGTCTCTTTGCTGCCAAGCTGTCTGGGCCCTGCTTTCTGGTATATGAGTGATCATCCCAGCAGCTGCTGTTTTATGCTCTCACACCTATAGATATTTCTATGATGTGTTTGGAGATGGATTTTTTTTTAATTTGCTGATCTAGCTAGCATGGTGATGCAAGCCTTTAATCCCAGCCCTTGGGAGGCAGAGGCAGGCAGATCTCTGTGAAGGCTGAAGCCAACCTATTCTACATAGTGAATTCCAGGACAGTTGGGATTATATAGTGAGACCCTGACCCAAGAAAAAAAAAGAAAAAAGAAGGAAGAAAGGAAGGAAAGGAGGAGGGAGAGAGGGAGGGAGGGAAGGGAAGGGAAGAATGGAAGGGAAGGGAAGAAGGAAATTGCAGGTCAAAGGGCACAGATGGTAAATATTCCAAAAATTTTACAAAATAGCCTTTCAAAAGTAAAACCAGTTGAGTGACCCTCCCACCGTGCCAGCCCTTGCTTGTAACTTGTGTTCTAAGGTAGATATGTTTCCTCAGGAGCCCCAGCCCAGTCCTTGGGGCAGTGTGAGTCTCCTGCCCTGAGCGGGCCCAGCTCATCTCCACACAGACACCTGCCTAGCTCTCCCTCTCACATCAGACCTCTCTGATCCTCAGTGGCCCTGGGGACAGTGCTGGTCCTACATTCACATGCTCTCCTCCCTAGGGGAGCTCTACGGAAGGCAGAGAGCTGGGGACATCTGTGGACACCGTCTGAGTACATTTCAGTCTGCCAGGGCCCCGGCAGGAAGCCCCAGCCTTAGTCAGATCTGGGCTCTCTGCTGTTTCAGACATCCTCCGCATAGATAACCTCTGGCAGTTTGAGAACCTGCAGAAGCTGCAGCTGAACAACAACATCATCGAGAGAATCGAGGGCCTGGAAAACCTCACGCACCTGGTCTGGCTGGGTAAGGCCTGGCTCTGCGTCTGCCTTTGTTAAAGGCGGCCCACTGCCAAGGACATCCATCGCCTCCCCGCAGAACAATCGCAGTGACACTCAGCTGCCAGCCTGTTGTTAGCCCAGGTGCAGCAGAAATGCCCTGTCTGTTAGGAGCAAGAAAGTGACAGTCTGTTCAAAGCCTGGGGCTTATGCTGGGCAAAGCCTGGCAAAGACTGCTGCATACCGGGCAGATTACTCCATCCCACCTGCCATCCTCTCAGGTTGGTGGGCATAGGGGCAGCCCTAAACTGGCATTCACATTGGTACAGGTGAACAGCTGGCCATTATAATGAGCATGGAACTTAGCCATATGCTGATTGTGACCTGCTTAACGCTTCATATGACTTGATCCATGCACCATCCCCATCATTACAATTAATACACCAAGGTGACAACAAGTTAAATGAGGGTCACAGGCTCCCTTGTAAATTTCTATTTGGTTCTAGAACTTTTGGCTTCACTGTCAAGGTCACTGGGGCTTGACCTCTTATGTGCCTCCCTATCTAGTGAGAGGCAGGAGAGCTTCTAAAGGACAAGAGAGGACAAGCTGAAAGCCCCTTAGAAACATCTTACTTAGCCCCCACAGTGGTCCTGGGAGGTGCTTAATGGCTGTTATTATCCAATCCAATGGCAAGGGAGGTAGGGCTCAGAAGAGCATGGGCAAGCGGAGGAGCACTAGGCTAACCCCACTCCTGCCTGTCTCATCCCAAGGCACATGTTCCTCCATCTTGTCAGGCTTCCGGGGGCGATGAATACAGCTCTCAGCCTGCAAAACACTCTCAGCTGTCTTTGTGCTGACACTGGAAGTCACAGTAACCCCACTAGTGGGCTTAAGGGGCCACTTCACAGATGCAGCCCCTGCGGCTCCAAGAGGCTGACTAGCCAGACAGAGTTGTGTGCTGCAGGTGGCAGAAGCAGACAGAAGTGAGTCTTCCAACTGTGGGGCCTAAGTCTCCTGCTCAGGCACCCTTTGTTCTACCCTTGTTCTCATTAGCTCTGATTCCTGGTCTCTGGGGTCCATCTGCATGGCTAGGAGTCACCCATCTCTATAGGAGGTGAAATCAGTACCTCAACAGTGGGACAGGTGCCCATGCCAGCCCAGGTTCTGGGCAATACCTGATACCAGGAGCCAGTGGGCCTACCTGCCTCTTGGAGTAAAGCCATGGCTCCTACAAGAGCACCTGCTTGTCCATTTACCCAGAGGGAGATTTGTATACTAACCACACTACCCTCCTGACCTGAAGCTTCTACTTCCTGACTGATCAAAGAGAAAGATTCCAAACCCCCACCTGCAGGTGTCAGAGGACATGCATGTGAACATGGGGTAGATGGAAATACTAAGCACATGAGAAGCAGTCTTGCTAGAATGTTCACAAATACAAAGGAAAGGCCATCTCCCAGCTCTGCCCCCAACTACACCGCTTTAGACCCACTACTGGGTGTTCTCATTCCAGGACTGACAGGGCTGAGAAGTCTTCCCAGTCAGAGGGGAGCTGGCAGAACTGGGGAGATGATAGGCAGAAGGCTGCAGCTGACACCCCTGGAATCCCTGAGGAGAGCTGGCGCCTCAGCTCTGTGTTACTCCCAAGAGCTCTAAGCAGCCTGGTGGTTTTGCTTCAGGACCATCCCTCCTCTAACCCTCAGAGTCCTCCTCCTTTCCAGATTTGTCCTTCAACAACATCGAGGCCATTGAGGGCCTGGATACCCTGGTCAACCTGGAGGACCTCAGCTTGTCCAACAACCGGATCTCCAAGATGGACTCTCTAGATGCCCTGGTGAAGCTGCAAGTGTTGTCACTGGGCAACAACCAGATTAGCAACATAATGAATGTGAGTACCAGGCCGGGGACCCATGCCACAAGTGCCACAGGGTCTTGGGCTGCGCCAGAGCAAAGGTGTGTGGTGGTAGATACAGTATGCCCTTTTCCTAAAAAGATGAAACATCCAAATTATTCCACAAGGGATTTGAAAACATGGAAAGACCATGCTTAACCTGACAAAACCTTCTCTGGGTACCAGGTTGTGTGGCCTCAGCTTTGGTCCTATTCTGCTGAGTCTCATCCTTAGGTGACAAACCTTTACTGATGTGAAGTACATACTGGATGTGGGGCATTGGTTCTGTGCTTAGGGAGACAGAGGTGGCAATGTATGGTCCTTTTGGGGCTAACCAATTGTACCCATTTAATCTAGACAGAAGTGACAGGAAGTTAGTGTCTCAGATAACAGTGAAGCCATCCCTGTGGATGGTAGGAGGGCAATCTAGGTACTCAGATGTGTCTGTATGATAGCTGACACTGTTGGGAGGTAGGCTGCCCCCAGGACACATCACAGTGGGCTCCCAGTAGGGAGATACAGCCAAGACTCTGGTAACAACTACCAAGTGCTATGTCAGAGGTGACCCCAATGCTTCTCCAGCTTAGACTTCAGTCCAGGACTGTCTAATACCTCTCTCTCTCTCTCTCTCTCTCTCTCTCTCTCTCTCTCTCTCGGGTTTTTTTTTTTTTTTTGAGAGGGTTTCTCTGTAGCTTTGGAGCCTGTCCTGGAACTAGCTCCTGTAGACCAGGCTGGCCTGGAACTCACAGAGATCCACCCGCCTCTGCCTCATGAATGCTGGGATTAAAGCCGTGTGCCACCACCGCCTGGCTGTCTGATACCTTTCAACACTCCATTTCCACATATATCAATCAGCTGGCCTGACTTCAGTCCCAACCATACACATGAACAGAGAGATTGAGCCAAGGCAACAAGTTATTGCCCACACTTAACTTGGTGCCTTGGCTGTTCATCAAAGCCAAACCGTAGAGGCAGCATAATCTTTACTTTGCATGTCAGGCATGAAGATCTAAGCCCCCATGAGGTGCAAGCCTTCCACAGCTCAGTTTCCTTACCTGTCAAATAGAGGTGACAGTAGCCCACCAGCCTAAGCTCTAGGTGAGGCGATAAGCAAAAGTAGTAGGTGCTAGGAGAGGTTGTTCTCTCTTCCTCTTCCTCCTCCTCCCCTCCCCCTCCTCTCTTGTCTGTGCACCCCACTGTAAACCTTAAAGTCATGTCCTCCAGCCTCTGCCATCCGAATGCTGGATTACAAGTGAGTACTCGGTTTTGGAACAGGTTCTTAACACATAGAGGCCTGTTGTGGTTGATCTCTTTGTCAAGAGAAGGTCAGAGATGAAGAGTCAACCTGATTCCAGTTCCTTAAAAGATATGAGAACCAGGGTGTCAGGGTGTGGTGGTGCATGCCCTAGATCCTAGCACTCTAAGGCAGAGACAAACAGATCTCTGTGAATTTGAGGCCAGCTTGGTCTATGTAGTGAGTTCCAGGACAGCCAGGATTAGATAGTGAAACCCTATCTCCTGTCTCCAGAGAGAGAGAGGGAGAGAGAGAGAACCTTCCATCTAGACAGCGGAGGAAAAGGTGAGTGTGCAGCAGCTAGCGAGACACCTGGGAAAGCCTGCATGGGAGTCAACCTGGGAACTGAGGTCTTGTTGCAGACAGCAGCATGTAGAGGAGTGTCAGCATGAGGCATGTCCAGGGCAGGGCTTATGTACGGGAAGTACATCAACCACTGCCTGAGTAGACTTGAGGGGGTCATGTGAATGGTTAATCGAGCATAGTACCACCTAAAATGGTAGCACCTGAAAGAAAAGCTGGGCTCCAGCTGACTGGAAGCAAAACTCGGGCAGGGACTTGAGTGCATGTGGTTTGCCTGGGAGGAGACTTCTGGAAGCTAGAGTGGACTGGTGGGGAAAGGGCAAGTCAGCATTGGGTGTTGCAGAGATTCCTGCTATGGGTGATAGGGACTTGATTCTAGTGGGCTTCAGGAATATCTAGAACGCCTTCCCAACAGGACTCCTTAATTGCTGGAGCCTGTCTGAGGACTGGTCTTCAATTTTGTCCTTAAGCAGCTAGGGTCAGTCCATGGAGATTAGCTCCTTCCCAGCCTGCAGGTGGGCCTCTGGGGCCATGGAGTCCTTGCGGACACAGAAGCCAGCAAAGGGGAGTGCTGCCGGGAGAAGTCTGTCCCAGCTGAAGTCAGAAGTAAACTAAATATCTGCCACAAACAGGGGCACTTGGTGCGTGGTTAGTGGCAGAGCGGAAAAAGGACTTATCAACAGTACTTGGGCTCGGCCATCCTTGCCATTTTTTTTTTCTGGCTGCTTGTCCTTATGGACTCCTTGTTTGTGTATGACAGGGCAGAGAGGGAGAAGTCTCTTCTCAACTGTCAGTGTTTCTTCAGTCTGCTTGGCTATCTCTACCTACCCTCAGACCATGTCATGTGTGAGCATAGCCAGCTGGGTGGCTTAAGTGAACAGTGGAGAAAATCAAGCGTTGATTTGTCATTAGTATTGAAGTCTGTCTGGTAAGGGCCAAACCCCTGAGGATGTGTAGTCTCAGAGGTTTGCTGGGTACAACAAGTGAGAGCAATTAAACTCACCAGATCCCTTCCCAAACTCGAGCCCCAGTTTCCCAGTTCTCTCCCTTCTCTGTGAGATGGGGAGCCCTAGCCCTGTCCAGCAGGGTGACCAAGTAAGGCCTGGAAGGTGTGGCTAGCAGAGTCAGCCAGTGTTAGCTGCCACTTACCAACTGTCTCTGTGTCCGCGCGCACATCTATAAAATGTGACTAATAGTAGACCACAGGGTTATTGTGAGGACTGAGTCGGTTGTGGTACTATATTCCTAATGCAGGACCTAGCACATAGTATGTACACAGAAAATGATAGGCACCCAGGAATTTTCAGGTTCTGGATTAATCCCAAATAGCCCGTTTGTTTTCTCTTTCTTTCTTCCTTCCTTTCTTTCTTTCTTTCTTTCTTTCTTTCTTTCTTTCTTTCTTTTTAAAAAATTATTTGTGTTTTAGCACTGCTAGGGCTTTAATCCAGGGACTTGTACATGCAAGGCCCATGCGATACCACTGACCCAAGACTTCCAAGCCTCAATCCTTGGTATTGAACATTTAGCTTCAATCTCTGCCTTAGTGTATCTTGCACCTGGGATCTCAGTGTGAATCATCATCTTTGGACACTGGAAACTTTAATGGAGCTAAGGCTTTCCCCAGACCTGGACAAAAGAAGATGGAGAGGTTATGGAGGCTGCATCGGAATGCCCCACTCACCAGGCGGTGGTGGCACACGCCTTTAATCCCAGCACTCGGGAGGCAGAGGCAGAGGCAGGCAGATCTCTGGGAGTTGGAGGCCAGCCTGGTCTACAAGAGCTAGTTACAGCATAGGCTCCAAAGCTACAGAGAAACCCTGTCTCAAAAAAATAAAAAACAAAACAAAACAGAATGCCCCACTCTCAGCTAGAGACTTTAGTGTTCCGTGCTCCCCTGCAGCAGCTGGGCAGGGTGAAGCCTCCTTGCTCTCTCCAGTGGGGTGCTGGGTACCAAGCTTTTTGTCAATATTCTAAATGTACTTTTAGCTTACCAAAGGAAGAGAAAAACAGTTCACCCTGGAAAAGAACATGCAAGGTACCTAAGCTATCTAGGCCAGGTGTCCTCTGGCCTAAAGGCCTTAGAGACCTGGCACCTCCTTCACCTAACCAGGCAATATTCCTTTCTTGACCTGGAGAAGCCTGACTGATACCCCTTAGGCACTAGCTTCTTTGTCTTGGGTCTTTCCTATTCATTCGACAGCTAACTACACACTGTTTTGTGATTTATTTATTTGTTGAGCTTATTTTTAGTACCTGCTGATTGCGTTAAAAAACACAGATAAGTAATCCTAACTCAGCACAGAAGCCTCAGTTCTACTTCCTCTTCCCCACACCTGAGCTTCTTTTGAGTTCCATGAGTAAACCTCTGGGCATCCCGTGTTCAGGAATATGTGTGGCTGTCACATTTGTCCAGCTGTCCTCCAGAGACCTCCTAAAAACTGACCGCTCTCTCCTCCAGTCAATACTCAGCATGACTGCCAACATCGCAGGTGGATCCACCCGTCTGCTGCATCACTCATCCTGCCGCCCTGGTTCTCTAGGGTAGCAGTCAAGGTTGTTTCCAACTGGTGCCACTGCATGCAGGACATAGTGTGTGTCTGTGATGTAGCAGAACAGGGTCCTCTATATCTGCACTGGTCTGTCTGTAAGGTAAACTCCTGGACTCGGGCTGCTGGATCAGAGGCATCGTGAGTTTTTGCCAAACGTCTCTAGTGAAGCAGAACTGTTTACAGCTCCCCCCCCTTTTAAGGGGCTGCCTGCTCACGCCAACCAGAGCTGTTTACAGCCGCCCCCCTTCCCTGCCAGAAGGTGCTGCCTGCTCACCCTTACCTACTACTACACACTTGTCAGCAGCTTTTTTTCTCTTTGGCTAAAAGATGTAAAAGGGCTCTTAACTTGAAAAATCTTTTAGCAATTAAACCAGATACTGCCTTCTTCCATAAACAAGACTCCAATGGCTTCCGTAGTTCTTAGAACCCATCTAAATTCTTGCCGAAAGCCTACGTGGTCTTCCAGGAAACAACCTCTGATAATGTCTCCCCATGAATCTTATGTCCTACCTGTCCCCTCCCCACTACTCTGTAGCCACCTCAGCTAAGTCCTGTTGGTGGCTATTGCCAAACTCTCTGCTGCCTCAGGGCCTTTGGCTTCTCTCAAGGTGCTCCCCCTGCTCTTCCATGGCTGGATCTTAGGGTTTCTATTGCTGTGTTAAAAAACCATGACCAAAACAACTTGGGGAGAAAAGGGTTTATTTGTTCACACATCCACATCGCAGTCTGTCACCGAAGGAAGTCAGGGCAGGAACAAGGCAGGAGTCTGGAGGCAGGAGCTGATGCAGATGCCATGAGAACGCTTACCTGCCTGGTGCACAGTGTTTCAATGTTGCTGTCATGCAAGCACAAGCCAAATGGTCGATCTCCCCATTTTACTAAAATCAAAGCAGAGGAAGAATAAGCAGCACCTAGTGGAATGCTCTTCTTGCTGTTGTCTAGTGAATGAAAGGTGAGCCAAAAATCCAGCTCCATTTAGCATAGGAGACTTAGGACCTCCATGTGGTTTTACTGTTGAAAACATTACCCTTTGGTAAGTGGTAACTCATTCAGTGGCTGTTGTGCACCTTGTTGACTGCTTCTCATGGCTCATGTCATTTGCCTTCTGTTAACACACTGTGTCATTCTGTCCATTGTGTAGAGGAGGGACTCAAGGCTCACACACTAGATGGATCATTTGCCAAAAGTTGCTCAGGTAGGATTAGAGCTGTCATTGTTCGATTCTGAAAGCTTGTGGCTGGTCTCAGACTAAAGTCTGACTCAGTAGCCATGAGCCATCACCCATCTGTGTGGAAGGGGTCCTGGGCAGACTGTAGACTCAGGAAGGGTGTAGAGGGAGGAGCTGTTGTGTGTTACTCCAGTTCTGTGACAGACCTCTGCTCCCCACTCCTCAGGTCATCTACCTGCGCCAGTTCAAATGCCTGCGGACACTCAGCCTCGCTGGGAACCCCATTGCTGAGGCAGAGGAGTACAAGATGTTCATCTATGCCTATCTTCCTGACCTCGTGTACCTGGACTTCCGGCACATTGATGAGCAGGCGGCAAGTGTCCCAGCTCTGTTCCCAGTTCTGCTCTAGTCTTTAGAGAGACAGTGGGGACATCTCCCCATCTGTGGTTAAGAGAAGATGGTTCCTGGCTGAGTCCTCTCCCCACCTGTGCACATCTATTCTAGCAGTGGCTTCTCAAGGCTCCCCAGTGACTTCCTGCAGGCCCAGGCCTTTTACATTTCACCCCAGGGCTACCAGGCAGCTGTGGTCTGTTTTCCAGGTGAAGACCTAAAGGACAGTAAAGGAAGGTGGAATAGTTCACCCACAGTCTCCCAGTTAGTTAGGGTCAGTGGAGGAGTTGGCTCCAAGAAGTTAGTCTTTCAGCCCCATGCTGGGCCAGGTATAGTGTGTGTGTGTGTGTGTGTGTGTGTGTGTGTGTGTGTGTGTGTGTGTGTCAGAGAGAGAGAGAGAGAGAGAGAGAGAGAGAGAGAGAGAGAGAGATATTTCCCTCTCTCTGCTGCCTGCCTCTGTCCCCACTCCCTTGCCATAAATGAGCGTTTCTCCTGCTGCTCCCTCTGTGCATATGGTTCAATGTGTGAGGCTACGAAGCAAGACTACGAAGTCTCTCTGTATGAGGTGCCTGGGAACCCAAAGGCTGCTGACCTGCCCGGTTCTTCCCACAGGAAGTTGTGCGCCTCTGCTGAGAAAGAGGAACCTGTATTTGCCATGCTGAATTCAGGGGGTACCCAGGAAAGGCTATCTGGACAAATGGGAGGGCTAGCCCCAATGTCTACCCTGATCCTCTACAGCCTATATAGAGAGCCCAACTCTGAGGGACAAGCTGGCATCAAAGTCAAGTCTTGTGCTGTTCACAGAAATAAGAAGAGTCAGAGAGCTTCTTCCCCACCCTCACTGACTCTCTGTGACAATATGAACCTGAGGATTTATCTTGTTCTTTGGTTTTGTTTGTATTTTTGAGACCACAGTCTCATGCAGTCCAGGCTGACCTTGAATTCACTGTATAGCCAAGAATAACCTTGAGCTCCTGACCCTTGTGTCTCAGTTTCCCAAGTTTCCCTGAGATAACAGGGATACAATGGCTGACTCTGAGATTTTTATTTCAGAGATTTTTTTAAAGTTATTTTTAATTTTATGTGCATTGGTGTATTACCTGCATGTATGTCTGTGTGAGGGTGTCAGAAGCCTTGGTGCTGGAGAGTTACAGACAGGCCTGAGCTGTGGTGTGGGTGCTGGGAATTGAACGTGGATCCTTTGAAGCCAGGGCTCTTAACCACTAAGCCATCTCTCTCCAGCTCCATTCTGAGAGTGTGTCTGTGGGGGTGTTTCAAGACAGGGTTTATCTGTGTAACTCTGGCTGTCCTGGAACTTGCTCTGTGTAGCAGGCTGGCCTCAAACTCACAGAGATCTGCCTGCCTTTGCCTCCCAAGTGCTGGGATTAAAGGTGTGCACCACCACTGCCCAGTCAATTCTGAGATTCTTAAATTCAATGGACAAGATGGCACACTCTTCTAACCCCAGGACTTGAGAAATTGAGGCAGGAGAATCAATAGTTTGGGCTCATCCTCAGCTATTCTGTCTCAAAAAACTGAAAACCAAGCAAGCACCCCCTTTAAGCCTTGGTCTCATCTCATTGTGGGGTTCCTAAAGTTTTCTTCTTGTAGACTCTTTTTGTCTGAAAAAACTTAACATATGTAGGTAAATACATATGCAAATCAAACATTTATTGATAATAAATCATAAACAAGTTTATTTTAAAACAATTCTTTGGTACATATAGAATGTTACCACTTATTAAAGGTGATAGCTTGGTTAGCAAAGTGCTTACCACACGTTTGATCTCCAAAAACCATATTAAAAACCAAGTGTGAGGGGCTAGAGAGATGACTCAGTGGTTAAGAGCACCGACTGCTTTTCTAGAGGACCCGGGTTCAATACCCAAGACTCACCTAGTGCTTCACAATCACCTGTAACTCCAGTCCTAGGGGAATCCAACGCCCTCTTCTGGCCTCTGTGTGCACTGCATGCATGTGGTACAGTGTTGTACTGACATCATTGAGGCAAAAACACTCATACACATAAAATAAAAATAAATTAAATCACTGGGCAGTGGTGGTACATGCCTTTAATCCCAGCACTGGAAGGCAGGGGCAGGAGAATGTCTATGAGTTTGAAGCCCGCCTGGTCTACAGAGTGAGTTCCATGATAGCCAGGGCTATACAGTAAAATCCTGTCTCGAAATCTGCCCCCCTCCAAAAAAAGGAAAAAATTGAAACTCCCAGTGCTGGGGAAGCAGAGACAGGAGTATGCTAGAGCTCAGCCAGTCTAGCCCACTAGGCAAGCTGCATAGCAGGGAGAGGCCCTGTCTCAAAGACAAGACGGATGGCTCCTGAGTAACAAAAACTCGGTGTTTCCCTCTGGCCCCCATACACACACATATGCTCATGTGTGCACCCATCCTGCAACGCACACACACTAGACAAAAGCACATTTGCATAATAATGAGATGAAGGTGGTTGCTTATTTTTACATAAAAATTAAATCTTGGTGAATCTAGAGAGATTGCTCAGCAGTTAAGAGCACTGACTGCTCTTCTAGAGAACCCAGGTTTGTTTCCAAGCCCCTATACAGTGACTGATAACCCTCTGTAACTCCAATTCAGGGGCTCCAACATCCTTTTCTGACCTTCACACCACTGCATGCATATGGTTCACAGACATACATGTTGACAAAACATCTGTGCACATAAATAAAAATGAATAAATCTCAAAAAAAATTAAACAAGTGGAGAAATGGCTCAGTGGTTAAGAGCACTTGCAGCTCTTGCAGAGGCCCTGGATTCAGTTCCCAGCATCCAGATGGAGGTGCATAGCCATTTATAACTGAATCCCTTCCAGAACCAGGGGATCAGACATCCTCTTCTGACCTCCACAGGCACTAGGTGTACATATGGTGCTCCTCCGTGCATGCAGGCAGAATATTCATACACACAAATAAATGAAATCTAAAAAAAATGAAGGTCAGATGTGGTAGCGCACACCTTTAATCCCAGCACTCAGGAGGCAGAGGCAGGTGGATTTCTGTGAGTTTGAGGCCAGCCTGGTCCTGTCTAGTATGTACTAAGCCAGCCATAGCTACACAGAGAGACCCTGTCTTAAACAAACTTTAAATCTTGACTAGCTATATAAACTGCAAGATGCAGACTCTTCAATGGTTTTAAGAGTTGATTAATATTTTGATTTTCTAATTCTCAATGATAAGAACTGCTCTGGATAAATGCATAGAACAAAATAGCAGAATTACGTTTATGGCCATTTCAGAAATTGTTGCGGGGCCAGCAGATGGTTCAGTGGGTTAAAGGGGCTTGCTCTGTAAGCCTAGAACTTGAGCTCAAGCCCCAGAACCTACGTAAGTGTGGAAAGAGAAGTAACTCCAAAGATTGTCCCCTGATCCACATTTGCCCCTTGGCACATCCTCCCCCACACCCACATCATACACACATAATAATAATAAAATCTTAAAAGAAAATTTTGGGAACTCCGTCCTAATCCCAAGTCAAAATTCATTTAATGAAACTTGTTAGCAACTCAAACAGCATTTTTAAAACCAAACAGCATCACATAATACAATTGAAAATAATAATGATGATGATGGTACCTACAGCCAAAAGAATGATGGTAGGAAAATATGAAAAGTCATTCTTTTCGACGGTTAAACAGTTATGTTTTTATAACAGGAGGCCTTGTACAGAAAACCCTGTCTCAAGTCCAGGGTGCAGGTTGGGGGTCAGGTAGCATGGCAAACGACAGCCATATGTGCACAGGGTGGCCGTGTTTTCTACTCAGAAGTGAAACTATAGTGAGGTCATCTTATGCAGCATGGTTTAACAAGACCAGAAGCATCTGGGGCCTGTTATACGCTTGATTTTAAATTAAATTTTGGTCATTTTAAGTTCATAAAACTTTGATTGTTGCCAATCGTGTGTGTGTGTGTGTGTGTGTGTGTGTGTGACCTCCACATTCGGTTACTATATTGGGATAGTAACCCTTAGCTTAAGAAACCAAGATTTAGGTGCTAATTTGAAACACATCATGATGTAGTTCCAAAATCTAGCACTCACCCTAGCATGTGTGATGTCTGGCATTATATTCCCAGCACTGGAAAAAGATTGCAGGGCAGCCCTACATCTGCAATAACAAGGTCTGTGTGCAGGCATTGTCTCCTGGATACTTAGAAGTTCCCCACAAGGGCAGAAACACACATGGCCTGCGTGGCCTGCCATGATTCAAAAATAAATGATGAGTAAAAGTTCATAAGAGCAGAACTCTATCAAGCAGGCAATGGAACTCCCCTCTAACCCTGATGCCTGATCTCACGCTGGTACCATAGAACTGAGGAAGGGGCCAGGGGCACGGCAGACTGCTTCAGGGCAGGCTCTTGGAGCACCCCCAGTTCTGTGATTCCCCTAATCTTAGGTTGCCTGGAAAGAATTAGGCATTCTCATCTCCAAGGCCCCATGCCTTTCCCAGCTTTTATGAAAGATACCCTCCAACACCCTGGCCATGCTCACGAGGCCCGAGGATGTGTGGCTGGAGGAACCAGATATCCTTTGGTAACAGTGCCTTTTCTGTTCCTGGGTCAGAAGGAGATAGCGAAGATAAAGCATCAGTATAGCATTGATGAGCTGAAGCACCGGGAGGCACAGAGGCAGGCCCGGCTGGAGGCTGAGAAGGCCGAGCGGGAAAAGCTGGCGGAGCACAAGGTACCACACAGACAGCTGCGCTGCCCTGGACACAGAAGGACCATGAGAGTGCTGGCCACATTAAGCAAAGATCCACAGGGATCCCCAGAATCCCAAAACTTGTAAGGCATACTGCAGCCACAGGACCCAACACATACTTCCTGCCTTGCAGGGCCCCTATCACCATGTCCAGGCCAGCTCAGCCCAGTCCCCATCCCCCACTCCCTAGCCCAAAGAGACTGTCCTAAAAACACTTGGTTTCAGTGACTCCTTTACTGAAGGCCATCAAGCTGTTTCTCATCCCATGCAGTCACAGTTTGGTTTTCAGTGCTGGGGCTCTGATTTTGTGGCTGTGCCTTGTTGGCTCCCCTACGACCAGCCCCAGCCCACTATGAACCTCAGTAGAGCGGTAGGCCACTTCTTGGAAACAGCCTGCGGCTATATCTGCTGCACCTCTATGCACCTCCTCCCTATGTCTGGAACACCGCCGCACACTCGCCTTCCTGGGAGGGAGGGCTGCAGCTCAGGTGCCATGTCCCCCGCAGGAATCCTTGGCTGCCTCCACCCTTCCAGGAGCCTGACTCTGGGTCACCATGTCTGGGTATTTGAATCCACAGATGGCATTCATCGAGCACTTGGATGGCTCCTTCCTGTTTGACAGCATGTATTCCGAGGATGTGGAAGGCAACAAGCTGTCCTACCTGCCTGGTGTTGGTGAGCTCCTTGAGACATATCCTTTCTGGGTCATTGCTGCCTCTTCGGGTGCAGGCCTGGTCCAAGTACCGCCAGCTTGCCTTGGGCAAGTTCATTTGACCCTGTACCTCATTTTCCCCATCATTCATGTGAGACCCTGGTCGTTAAATCTCTGCTGTATGCAAAAGGCCATTCCAGCTACACCAGTTGAGTTTTGTGGGGCAGTACTGTCCAGATTTCTGCAGGCACATTGTGTGACAGCTACTGGCCGGGTCTGCCATGCCTGGGAAGCTGAGTTTTCTGAGGCAGGAGTAGGGAGTGTTCTATGCCAACAGTCTCCACTGGCTACGTTACTGCTCTTGAGCTACATCCCCTTAAGCACATCTCTAGGTGACTGCCGTTAGTAGCCCCAGAGGGTAAGCAGTTTGTACAGGATCGTTCATCTGTGCGGCCTAAGAGCTTGCATTTGTCCCCTAGCTGGTCAGAACCCGAGGATGTCACTTGTCATACATAGTGGCAGTGGTCCTGAGAGCCAAACCATGGGCTTCAGTGGTAAGAGGGAGATGGAGGGCACCTCTAAGACATGGGGCATTCTAAAGCAGAGGGCTCTGAAATGAGACAGCAAGTCCCAGATAGGTCTGTGGGCCACCAACACTGATGTCAACCTCCAGAAAACTTACAGGAATGAATCTCTAATAAATGAAGTGCCATTTGGGAATAATGCACTAGAATTGCGATTTGGGAATGGTCAGGTTTCCCCAGGAATGAGAAGCAACGGCACTGTCCCATGTCACGGTGCCTGCAGCTGGCCTTTTCCTGGCTTGGACGTGGGCAAGTACCTGGCTGGCTGACCCTGTGATGGCTCCTGTGTGAGAGCCTCCATCTGTGGCCCTCCCAGCTCCTCTGGCCAGCTTTGGTGAGATCCTAAAGGCAGAGTCTAGACATCGGTGGCTACATTGAATCTGACACCTTTCTCAGTGGGTCTACCCAGAACCCACAGAGAGTAAGTTGGGGAAGATAGTGCTTCAACCATGTTGGCCACCCCTCTTCCTCAGGGACTTATGCTTAAGCACCATGAGGCTGTGAGGTTTGTGCAAAGGCATCCCATCTCCTGAACACAGCATCCCCAAGACCCTATGAGGTTGCCTGCCTGAGCCCCAGGACTCTGCCAAGGACTTTTTTGGTTTGTTTATTTTGTTTTGCTTTGTTTTGTTTTGTTTTGTGACAAGGTCTCACTATTGTAGCCCTAGGTGTCTTAGCCCTACCCCCCTACCAAATCCTAGGATTAAAAGTGTGTGCTACCATGCCCAGCCTCCAAAGGACTCTTTGTGGTGGCTTCCTCCATGCCCTTAGCTTGGGTGAGGGAAGGACACTGAGGCCCAGAGAGGTAACTTGCTAGGATGGGTCCCAGAAGCACCATTAGAGCTATGGTTTGCACCTGGACCACCTGGTTCCTCGCAGCTCAGATGAGCCACGGGACAGGCCCTTCTCAGAAGATTTTTTTTTTAAAAAAAATTAATTTAACCAGAGATTTTTTAAAAAGAAAGAAAAAGAAAAAAGGGACTCCACCTCATCTCCTGGCCAGACTTCTAGCTCTTGCTGGACCCCCCAATCCTCTGGAAGTCTCTTCTAAGGCCTTTAGGCCTGTTCCTGAGTTCCTTAGGTGCAGGTAGAGATGCCACAACCATCACATTCTGCTACAGATTGCAAGCCCCAGATCGTTGGCTCCTCTGTTTCCCCTTCTGTCAAAAGGACGACCTGTGGCCTCCATAGTGTTCAGCATTTCATGCTCTGCAAGGAACTGTCAACATTTTTGTCACAACCCTAGTAGCCTGCTCTTGAGCCCCAAGCTTCCTTAACAGCCACTTACCTACAAGGACAAATTTGTCATCATCTGCCTGAACATTTTCGAGTATGGCCTGACGCAGCAGGAGAAGAGAAAGGCAGAGTTAGACACTTTCAACGAGTGCATACAGGAGGCCATCCAGGAGAACCAGGGCCAGGGCAAGCTTAAGGTTGCCAAGTTTGAGGAAAAGCATCTGCTGGTAAGTCCCCTTCTCCTGTGCCAAGGTGCCAGGACTCACCTCACTGTGGAGGAGCTGCAATGTCCATGCCCTCTAGCGGTCCCGGAGGCCCCTAGTCTCTGTCCATGTGCCAGGGATCACAGTGTCACCAAAGGGCACCACACACAGCTTCACTGAACCAGCACAGGGGCCTCCCTCACATCAGATACCCCAAGAATTCAAGGTCACCCTGAAATCATTATCATTAGTGTTAGCCGTGGTTACAGATTAGTGTTATCTGTACCACTCTTCTGTTGATGACGGTGGTAACACCCATGCTTTCTTCTATTCGTTCGTTCGTTCGTTCGTTCGTTCATTCATTCATTCATTCATTCAGTAGGCTTTTATTTTCCAAGCCTCACTCTGCCTAGGTCTGGCATGCTAGGGTTCTGATACACATGGTCCCTGTACTTGGCAGTTCCCACCTTGTAAGGCATTGAGCCCTGGGCTAAAGCCTTTCTTACCTGAGTGACTGAGTGGTCAGGGCTGTCATAGAGCTCTGGAAAGGCTCACTTCCAGAGAAGGAGTTGGGGCCCCTCTGCCAGCAGCACAGGCAGGGATCAGGTTGGGGTGCCTTGGGATTTTAACAGAGTGTGCCCCTCTGTTCATCCACAGTCTGCCTGCCCCCTCTGCACCCACGAAGTCCATTTATCCACAGCCTGCCTGCCCCTCTGCACCCTCTAAGTTCGCTCATCCAGAGCCTGCCTGTTTCTCACAAACCTCTCATTTTAGCTCATCTTGATTTTTCTTGTCTAGTTTACAGCCATTCTGCCCTTTTCCCTTCCCTCCCCTCTGTGGTAAAGTATTACTTTATTATGACTCTTTATAGATTGAGCTAGTAGCCCTGAAGCCTTGAAGGACCTTGAGGGTTTTTTTCTTGGTTTGCTGTGTAGCTTGACATTTGTCATTGGTGCTTTTGTCGTGTAGAGTGTTTGTCTGTGTAGTCAGGCAGTCTACTGAGCATAATGTACCTCCAGCATATAATATCACACACACACACACACACACACACACACACACACACACACACATATATATATATATATATATATATATATATATATATAGGTCTTTTGGGTTGTTCTCTGTGGAGCTTTTGCCTGTCCTGGAACTCACTCTATAGATGAAACCTTTGAACTGGCTTTGAATTTATGCCTAGCCTTGAACTCACAGAGCTCCACTTGCCTCTGCCTCCTGAGTGCTGGGATTGGAGGCGTGCACCACCACTGGCATAAATTTTAACAAAAGAAAGTCTTTCTTCTGGTTGTTCTTTCAAAGTATTTCTCTATTCTGTGAGTTTCCATTAAAAACCTTTCTTCTTGGACTGAGGATGTGGTTTAGTTGGTGCAATGCTAGCCTAGCATTCATAAAACCTTGGGTTTTGATCTGCAGTCTCACATAAATTCAAGTTTGGGGACACACTCCTGCAATTCCAGCACCTGGAAGGTAGAGGCAGGGAAATTAGCTTCAGCGACCTAGCGAGTCTTAAGGCCAGTCAGAGCTACACGATCCCCTTATTTTCTTCTTGCATTTTTACAGTTAGTTTTGCATTGGAGCCTCCACTTGTCTTCAGGTATGGGTTGTGGTGAGCACGGGCTGGGTCTTTCTCAGGTGGGAAAGTATCCCTCCTGTCCTTAGCTACACTAATCGATGTCGCAACCTCTTCCTGCTTCAGGGCTCATACTGTTAGTCACAAAATAAGATTGCATGGGTACTGGTCATGGTACTGGGACCTCTGCTGATGAACGGTTGCTCATCAGCCCACGAGACTGTCTCATTCAAAATGTTCAGTCTATTTTCCATGGATTTCTACTTGCTTCCTGTGGCTCTAAGGGGGTCTGTCTGGTTTGCTCAAAGACTGGAACTATTTTTGCTATAGTGTGGATATAGTTTCATCCCTAATGTGGCAATATTGAGAAGTGGCACCTTTAAGAAGAGGAGTGGGGTGAAGGATGGCTCAGGAGGTAAAGGCATTTGCTGTGCAAGGCTGGAGACTTCAGTTCAATTCCTATAAGCCATGTAAAAGTGAAAAGAGAGGACCAGCGCCACAAAGCTGTCCTCTGAATTCCACATGCATACACACCCAATTATTATTTTTTTATTATTTTTAAAATTATTTTATTATTTTAAATTTTTTTAATTAGTTTTTTATTATTTTAAAAGAAATGAATCGGTTTTAGGAAAAACTGATGCTTCTCCCTGTGTGGGACTGGGTTGCTGACCTCTTAGAGATGGGTGCTAATGAAGCAAATTCTGCATTGCCAGCCCTCTCCTGTGCATTCTCTCTTCCCACATGACCCTCTGGGCACCTGTAACCAGATACTAGAGCATGCCCTCCAGGGTAATGTCACCCATCATGTTGTGATGCAGCTAAAATATCCTCGAGAGAGCCCAGATGGGGCTAGCCAGTCTTGGGGTTTGTTGTTGTTGTTGCTGTTTGGTTTTTCGAGACAAGGTTTCTCTGTAGCTTTGGAACCTGTCCTGGCTGGCCTCAAACTCACAGAGATCCACAAAGCAGGTGTAGTGGTGCACACGTGTGATCCTAGCACTTGGGAGGTAGAGGCAAGAGGATCAGAGTTGAAGATCATCTTCAACTACATAGCAAACTCAAGGCCAGCCTTGAATGCATGAGACCCTAGCGCAAAAGAAAAAAAAAAAAAAAAACAACAGAAGGCAAGACTAAAATAAAAACAACAGAAAACAAGACTAAAATTTTACATATCACTTTATGATGGTGATAAGTTCTGGGAAATATGTCATTATGCGACTGTCCCTGTGGGAACACCAAGCTGTTACTAGGTTATTGAAACTTTTTAGCTTCATTGGCTTCGGAGCCACTGTCACACTTGCAGTATGTCCCTAACTGAGACGTTATCACGTGGCACATGACCAGACTAGACTGAACAATGCGTTTGAAGCTGTGAGGACAAGGCTGAGGTTGGGGGAGCAGATGTGATCAGCTGGTAAGGTTTAGTTTAGTTTGTTTCTTTCTGTACTTTTTGTTTTTGTTTTGTTTTTTTTATATTTATTTATTATGTATACAATATTCTGTTTACATGTATGCCTGCAGGCCAGAAGAGGGCACCAGATCTCATTACAGATGGTTGTGAGCCACCATGTGGTTGCTGGGAATTGAACTCAGGACCTTTGGAAGAGCAGGCAATGCTCTTAACCGCTGGGCCATCTCTCCAGCCCCTTTGTTTTGTTTTTGAGACAGGTTTCTCTGTGTAGGCCTGACTGCCCTGGAACTCCTCTGTAGACCAGGCTGGCCTTGAACTCACAGAGATCCTCCTGTCTCTGCCTCCTGAGTGCTGATATTAAAGGCACGTGCCACCATGCCTGAGTGTTTTGTTTCTTGCTAAGTCTTCTGTTTGTTTTCTTGTCTTTGATTTTTGGGCTTTGGTTCTGGATTTTTGACATATGGTCTCATTCCAGCTCCAAACTGTGAATCTTAGGCTGGCCTTCAACTCCTGGTCCTCCCACATCTGCTGTCTCTGCCTCCCAAATGCTGGAATTGCACACAGGTGCCACTATGCCTAGGATGAGTTCATTTCTCTTATCATTTACTTCTGTTTTATGTGTTTGGGTGTTTTACATACATGTATGTCTGTGTGTTGTTGTTGTTGTTATTATTATTATTATTATTATTATTATTATTGGTTTTTTGAGACAAGGTTCCTAGTATAGCCCTGGCCATCCTGGAACTCACTTTGTAGACTAGGCTGGCCTCGAATTCACAGAGATCTGCCTGACTCTGACTCCCAAGTGCTGGGATTAAAGGCGTGTATCACCATGCCCAGCATGGGTTAGTTTTAAAAGCTTTATTTGCACAGATTTTCTTCAGCCCTGGCTCCCATCTCTGTTGATAAGAATGTCTTCCCCTCCTCCTGGCACAGACAAAGAATTTCATCTTCTACTTTTGAGAAGATGGGGTAGGCCTGAATGCTCTTTTGGCACCTGCATTTTCAGGTACCTTCACATGCATTAAGAGCATCAGGTAGCTTCCCCAAGGTCACAGAGCTAGCAAATTGGGAGCTAATGATTGAACTTGGGCACTTCAACTTCAGACTCCAAATTTTTACCTATAAAATCAAACTGTCACTTACTACTAAGTAACATGTTTACCTACTGAATCCCGAAACACAGGGTTTTTGTTTGTAGAATTTGAATGCCATCCGAGAAGAGAGTGAACTGCCCAATATCGAGAAGAAGCTGATAGAATGCAGTGATGACATCACGGAGCTGTTCAACATGCTCATGACGCTGGAGATGCAGCTGGTGGAGCAACTGGAGGTAGAGCCAGACTGGCATAGACGCAGGGCCTCAGCATGCAGCTGCAAAGCCTCACAAGCATGCCTTCACAGGCTCTTCCCCTGCATGTCCAGTGTAACCCAGTGGACACACAGGAGAAGACTGGGCAGGTGGAGACAGGTGGGTCTCTAGAGCTCCCTGGCCAATAGTGTAGCAAACATGAGTTTCAGGCCACTGATAGGAAAACAGGCAAATGGTGCTTGAGGCTGTCCTTTGCCTCTACCCAACGTTCACACCCCATACACATGCACATCACCACATATAAAAATGAGCGTGTGCATGTCTCATATGAATGTGCACACACACACACACACACACACACACACACACACACACACATCACTTTCTTCCAAAACTATTAAAATACATTACAGGCAGGGGCTAAAAGTGTAGCTCAGTGCTTGCTTGTTTGCTTGCTTGCTTGCTTGCTTGCTTGCTTGCTTGCTTAGCACAGACAAGGTTCTAGGTTCCATCCTCAGCAATCACCAAATCAAGAAAAGAAAAAAAAGAAAAGAAAAGAGAGGCACACACTGCTAGCTGCCTAGGAAAGGACTCTTTTGGAGAATGAGAGGTGAACTTGTTTCTCTGAAAATCTCCTCTCCCCCATCCTAGAAGAGCCCAATAGTGTGCAGATTGCTTATTAGGCCCAAGGGGAAGTTCGGGGGCGCATGAAACAAGGTGGACCTCCACTCAGGAGCCAAACAAAGGCTCATCAGTGTTGCAGGCTATGCTTGCTGTCTTGGAGGTCGGCAACGCAAGGAGCCTGTCACTTGGCACTGGCGATGGGAAATGAAAAGCACGGCTGTCTCAGATGCATTTGTAGCCAGGGTGACTTGTGTGTTTGCAGGCAGTCAGGCTGGGATTGGAAGTGGTGTGATGAATTGGACCTCATCAGATGTTGCCACGGCTGGGCCAAGAGACAGTGCCTAATCAATTCCTCACACGTCAAGTGACACTTCCTACACAGGATAGATTCGCTGTTGCCCAGCACAGCAGCCGCTCATTTCCCACCGGGAATTGCTCGGCTCCAGCACTGCTGAGGCAGCGCCGCAGGGGAGGGCTGCTGGCTCCCAGTCCTCTCAAGCAGGGAGACTGTTTTCAGGATGCAAACATCTCCCAGGTCCATGCTCTCATCCTGCCCATGTCACCAGCCACCTAAGGCCGGAAGACACTTGTTTGTGCTTTCTAATGACCTTTTATTCACCAAAATGGTGCTCACACGCATGTGATAATGGGCTCATTTTCTCAGCCTGCAGACTGGCCTTGGGCTCCTGTGAATGCCCTTGCGGTGCCAGAGGTCTGTGGGAGACAATGGAAAGGGTCTTTCAGGGGAACAGGTTTCGTAATCACATTTGTCTGTCACTTTCTCAACAACACTGAGATCTGCTTAGGCCACAAGCACTCTGCTAAGTACTGGGAACAGTAGCTAACTGTTGGACATCTAGGGTAGCAGCCAGCATCTATCCAGGGTCCTGGCATCCTGGCTCTGGCAGATAGTTGGTAAGTCATTTGGGTGATGTAGCTAATTTAACTACATTAACCATTAACTGCCATGATACTACACAGAAACCCTGTCTCACATATGAAGAGGCCCAGAAAGATTAAATGATGTCCCTGGAGTAGAGCTGGCTCTTGAGATCGCCCTCTACTGCTTTTGTGGAGATGATGGACAGATCCTGCTGAGAGGCCTGAAAGGAAGGAGTCCATTCAGGGAGGAGAGGAGTCAGTATATGTGCTCCTGGAAGAGGCAGCTACATAGGAAAAAGGCCTAGTGCCAGAGCTGCAGGATGATCTTGCTTAGTGGGTAAAGGTGCTTACCGCCAAGCCTGGTGACCTCAGTTTGATCCCTGAGACCCACATGGTGGAAGGGAAGAACTGACTCCTACAAACTGTCCTCTGATCTCCAGATGTGTTCTCTCTCTCTCTCTCTCTCTCTCTCTCTCTCTCTCTCTCTCTCACACACACACACACACACACACACACACGTAATATAAAAATATTAAATCCTGGAACTGGAGAGATGACTCAGTGATTAAGAGCACTGGTTACTCCTCCAGAGAACCTGGGTTCAATTCCCAGCACTTACATATCAGCTCACAACTGTCTCTTAATTCCAGTTCCAGGGGGTCTGACACCCTCACATAGAATATATACAGGCAAAACACCAGTGTACATTAAATAAATCTTTAAAAAATGTAAATCCCAGAGGCAGTAGCTGATGAGTTACTGGTTAAAAGCACTTGTTGTTTGTGCAGAGGACCTGGATTAGGATCAGACCCCACAAGGCAGCTCTTAACTGTTTGTAACCCCAGGTCTAGGGGACACAATGCCTCATCCTGACTTCTGCAGGTACCAGGTGTGTACACAGTGTACAGACATACATGTAGATAGAGCACTCATGTACATACAATAAGTAAATCTTTTAAAACATGGACAGCAGAAGCATTCAGTGTAGTGAGCTGACACTGGAGAGTAGCAGAGCTCTGGGAAGGAGGGGTGGATCCTTAGCCATTGGCTGCCCTAGGAGGTCAAAGAGGGGTGGGCTTTGCCACGCAGGGTCTGTGATTTGAGGTGGGGTAAAGGATGTCGATACACATGGTGACTGTCTTCTGTATCATTTCCAGGAGACTATAAACATATTTGAAAGAAACATCACTGACTTGGTGGGACTGTTTATTGAAAATGTCCAAAGTCTATATCCTTTCTGTGACGAGCCCTACCTCACCCCATGGGAAGGCACCATGGGCTCCTGGGTTTGTCTTGATCTCTAGAGCAACTAGGGCAGAAGGGTCTAGGTTCTTAACAAAAAGCAAAGGTGGATGAAGCCGCTTCAGAAAGTAAGAGGAGATCAAGGAATAGCTTGGTGGAGAATTTGCTTAACAGGAGTGAGGCTCTGGGTTCAATGCCCAGCACTGAAAAAAAGAGAAGGAAAATAGAGATTAACAGTATGTGAATAAATGGTGGGTACAGAGTAAAGTGAACGCTTTAGATCATACTTCAGTCCTTACCCAAAATACTTAACCCATAGATCTGCAGAAAGACCTAAGTCCTCATTCCAAAAAGGTGTTTATACCCCTACAGGGCCCTAGTTCACGGCTCTCCATTTTTGAAAGTAGAAGAATGTAAAATGTACCAATTCTCACCAGGAAAGAGGTTCTTCCTAGCATAGGATGCAGATTTGTTGACCACAGAGCGTTTTCCATAGCACCTGAAGTGCCTCCCAACACTCAGCAGTGGTGGCCTTGCTAGAGTGCCGGTTTGGATGACAGAGGGACTTCTGCGCAATGGTCTTGCAAAAGTTCCTAAGTGGGTGATGCTCATGGGGACACTGACACCCCAGAATTCCTGACTGACTTTTTATTGCAGAAAACCACTCTGGGATAAGGCATAACCCACTCTGAAGACAAGACAAATTATAGGGGAGCTTGGCAGGCTACTTATTAAGGTTAGAAACCAACATATGAAACATTATCAGCCCTTTATAGGGGCAAAGTGCTAAGTTCACCCCAGAGTGAACTCAGGTTCTGTCATCCTGGGGCTCAAAGTCTAGCACGCAGCCATTGAGGTACCAAGTGGTATGCAGGGTACAGGTCATCAGTCTCCACAAACACTAAAAAAAAAAAAGAAAAAAAAAACCAAAAACCTGCAGGTGGCCACAGGAACCAGGTGTAAGGAGATAAATTCCAGTCAGCAGAAGCAGTGTATTCCAAGACCCTGAGGAGAAATCTGAGAAAACAAGTTTCCAGCCGAGGGCTTCCGGCCATGTCAGAGAATGGACGTTCCGGGGAGCTCTAAGCTAGGAACTGGCCACTTAAACCCTTCCTCTTATTCCAGTTGCTGTTGGAGAAGGGGTAAGAGGGCATGGGAGACCAGTGAGGCCTGCTGCAGTGCTGGGAGGCCATGGGGGTGGAGACGGTGATGAGATGAGGGCCCTGAGGTGAGCGCCACCGAGGGCCTGAGGATGGCCCTGGGCTTTGATGCCTGTGGGTGACAGCTTTAAGGCCAGGATGCCTCTCAGTGCCTCAAAGCAGATCCTGAACCCTTAGAGCAGCACCAACATATCAGATAACCTGCATATTTATGACTCACAACAGTAGCAAAACTACAGTTATGTTGTAACAACAAAATAATCTTATGGGTGGGGGTCACCACAGCATGAGGAACTGTAGTAAAGGCCCGCAGCATTAGGAAGGTTGAGAACCACTGCCCTAGAAACTGGTCTCTCTAGTGGAGATGGCATGGCCTTGTTTAGCAGAGGCCCAGCCACCGGTGGGAGACATCTGGCCTGCTCTGCTCCTGGCTTTAACTCACGACTGCAGGATGGCTCAGTGCCGCGACTTGGAGAACCATCACCACGAGAAGCTCCTGGAGATTGCCATCAACACCCTGGAGAAGATCCTCAAGGGCGAGATGGATGAGGACTTGCCAGATGATGTGCGGGCGGTGAGTAAGGATGGAAGGACTGGGGCACAGCAGCCAGGCCAGGGGCCAGAAGTGACTCGCCTAAGTGTGACAAGCTCTCGGAGATCTCTGTGTCTTCACCTGAAGGAGACAGTAACTACAACACTGGTACACCCCCAAGCCTCATGTCTGGTTCAGCACCACACTGCCCGGGTTCCTACCAGGGCAGGTGATGAATACTGGGGATTCATCATTGGGATTACACCTCTGAGTCCACTCCGAGCTCCTGCAGCAGCATGTAGATGGCTTAGGAAAGGGCTCCAGGCAAGGATGAATAGGCACCGGTCCAAATCCTTCCCCTCAGGGGCCTGCTTTTGTCCCTACACTGCTGAGTTCCTCAGCTGCTCTTCAGCACTATGCTATTGCCAGGCCATGTTCCAGTTGCCCTGCCTGCCTCTTATAAGCTATTCTCCATCTGCAGGCAGGTAGATCCACTGGAAACCCAGACTACACAGTCCTCACCCCTCCCGGGTTGCCAAGATCTTAGAGTTCATTCCCATAGGTCTCAGATACTCCAGGCTAGGCCTGCTTCCCTTGGAGTCCCACCCCAGGTTCTGATGCTCAGTGATCAGCCTCTGGGGTACTCCCATCCGTCAGGCTTGCTCCTTTCAGCTGACATTCTGTCTTATTAGGATTTCTACTGCTGTGATGAAACCCCATGACCAAAGCAACTTGGGGAGGAAAGATTTTATTTCATCATACAACCCGCAGGTTATAACCTAGTACTAAGTGAAGTCAAGGCAGGGACTCAAGCAGGGCAGGAACCTGGAAGCAGTAATTGATGCAGAGGCCATGGAGAAGTGCTGCTTACTGGCTTCCTCCTCATAGCTTGCTCAGTCTCCTTCCTTATAGAAGCCAGGACCACCAGTCCAGAGGTGGCACCACTCACAATGGGCTGGGCCCTTCCACATTGATCACTAATTAAGAAAATGCATTACAGCTAAATCGTATGGAGACCTTTTCTCAAGTGAGGAGTCTTCCTCTCTGATAACTCTAGCTTGTATCAAGTTGACATAAACCCAGCCAGTACACATTCTATCTGGCAGACATGCTCACGCCTCAGTCTCTATGTGTTTTTCTTGTCCTTGCCATTCAGATCTCAGCTCAAGTCCTAACTCCCCTGAGAGGCTTTCCCCGGGTACCTCTTACACTACTGTTCCTTTTCCACACCTCATCTGTCAGGTCACAGTTTTAAACTTAGGTTCATGTTGATTTGTTCCTACAACTCTTCATGCTTCTCCTAAGCTTGCGAAGGAGACCAGAGATGATCGTCCTGTCACCATGGACTGCCTGTGCTAGCAGGAGCATCCAGCATGGCAACGGGAATGACTTTGGAGCTGGGTGATGAAAACATGTATTCACTAAATCTTGGCCTTATCAGGAGCTGGGCTTAGCTGTGCAGACAGAAGGCCAGCAGCCTTGGCCCCATAGCCTCTGTTCTGAGGCTAGGACAGACACCCAACACAGCAGCAGGGTGCAGGGCCACAGTCACACTAACCGCCTCTCCACACGCCACTTACAGAGCTCATTGTTGACCAGACAGGAAAACGCTACTCTGCCCTAACTGAGAAGCACGTCTCCTCTGAGAGGTTCTGGAAGTCTCTGACAGTACTCATGGGGCGGGTAGAGTTCCTAGACCTGTGACACCAGTGAACATCATCACTGAACCATGCTCACTCCCTAGTGACTCTAGCACACAGTAAAATATGGGCCCCAGAGGCAGAGAGGCAGATCAGTGTGCCCTCTCACCCAGGTGGCCCTGTCAGAGCATGGTAGTGTCTGGCAACCAAGTTTCATTAGAGGATTACCACCACCCAACCTGTTGACCTCACGTGACCTCATTTCCTCACCAAAAGGAGCACCATTATCACCCGAGGTTGTGAGCAAGGCAGGCTCCTAGATGCCTGGTGAGAATGGCACAAGCAGTGAAGGCAAGGGTCTGAATTTTGACTCTAGTCTGACAGACAGTGCTGAGCCTGTAACCGTAGTTGTCGCTGCACCCATCCCTACTCACCACAGCTGACAGGCATTTGGGGGGTGCCCATGGTAGCAGGCTACGGGGCTCTGTCTCTTTACTAAAGGGATTCTTAGACTCACTAGCAAGACTGAAATAGATTACTGCCTTCAGAGCCTCCTGGTAAGCTGGGCAGTGGTGGTGCACACCTTTAATTCCAGTACTCAGGAGCAGAGGCAGGTGGATCTCTGAGTTCCAGGGCTGCGAAGGCCACACAGAAATACCCTGACTCCAAAAACAAAACAAAACAAAAAAACCTGGGGGAGAGCCAGTGAAAGTTCCTCCTTCTTACTTATTTACAGTCAGAGACAAGAAATCCCCAGAAACCCAGCTGCCTTTTGCAGAAGCAATAAAATGGCCTGCTTTCTGCAGAGAAAAACATTGGCTATGAGAAAGTCTGAGCACACTAATAGCTGGCGCATGCTGCAGTCTCTGAGAGCCAGCCTGTCAAGAGCTGGGCACAAACCGCCCCCTTCAATCTCCAGGTAGACATGGAAAGTAGGCACCGCTGTGTTTCCATGTGGATGGGGAAAGTGAAGCCCAGAGATTACAGCAGTGGAGCCGTGATTTGGACCCAGGCAGCTTGACTGGACAGAATGTTTCCTGGGCCTACAGCAAGAATGGTCCAGAAGAGGAAGAGGGCTGAGGATGAAAGCAATCTGGCTTCTGCTACCCTGAGGTCATTGCACAGATCATGATTACAAAGCCACACGGCTTAGGGTGTTTCCAAAGCACCCCAAAGTTTAGGATGTTTTCAAAGCACCCCTCTGAAGCCAAATGCTACTGGCCATGCCACTCTCCTGACCCAGCTTTCCTGCATTTGTGTCCCCCAACCTGGGCAGAAAATTCAAGACTCCATCCAAATGAATGTTGATCCATTCAGCATCAACAGAAAGGAGGGATGTCACCTGCACTCTTAGGAACTCTTTACATCCATGCAGAAGTACAGCTGCAGAAGCTGGGTCAGTGCTCAGGTCTGGTCCATGGGAGGAGCTGCACATTCCCAAAAGCTGCTTGAAGAAACACTAGAGTTGATGCTGTGGCCGTACCTCTTTCTGAAGTCCAGGGCAGTGCATGCTTCCTCAGTTTCTTTTGGATGGAAGGATACTCCTTTCCGGATAGATAATAATGGAGGATGACCGTGAAAAAGGGATGGGTTCTGCGGGACCCCTTCCAGATCATCTCAGGCGTCTACTGATAAAGTAACAGTCAAGGAGTTAGAAGCAAAGCTTCGCGGAGGAAGGGACTTTGTGCCTGCGCATGCAGGTCCAGGTCATCGTTCTCAATCTCAATCTGAAGTCAAAGGATATAGACATGAATGCAAATGAGCTCATCAGAGGCCATTGCCAAGCCACAGGTACAGTGACAGTGCTCTGGTAGAAATGCAGGGATGGGGGTCTAATTTTAAACTCTGTGAAGAAGTTAGTGTGGCGCTTGCATAATGGGTGAAAAATCCTGATATTTTGGAGCAGTTCGAGCACTGAATGGATTCAGGAATTCGGACTCGGTTGCAAACAGACTCTTGTGTGAAGGGCAGAAGGGTAAGCTCTCTGCAGGCAGAACTCCTCCCTGCTTTTTAGTTAGAGAAGGAGCCTATGGATGGGCAGTGGATCATGGGATAGTCTCTTGCCCTCCTAACACCATGACCACAGATTCAATTTAGCTGCACTTGGGGGGCCAAGAGGTAGCTGGGCAGTGATGGAGATGCCTTTAACACAGCACTCAGGAGACAGAGGCACTGTGAGTTCGAAGCCAGCCTGGTCTACAGATTGAGTTCCAGGACAATCAGGGCTACACAGAGAAACTACCTCAAAGGGAAAAAAGAAGAAGAAAGAAAAGAGAAGAGAAATGAAAAAAGAAAGGAAGGAAGGAAGAAAAGAGGGAGGGAGAAAGGGAGGGACAGAAGGAAGGAAGGAAGGAAGGAAGGAAGGAAGGAAAAATGATTTGGATATTTGGGACACAGTAGGTGCTGTGGTTGTGGCTCACAAAGGGAATGTTGCTGCTTTTGTCTCCAAAGGAGACTTGGCCTTGATACATCCAGGGAGAGATGGGCTGGTTGCTCCTTCTGGATGTGGCTGCTAAATTGAAAATACTGGATCTCATGACCCCTACTCCACAAGTGTGAGTACCTCAGGAGTGGCGAGCACCTTGTGTGCATTGCATTGGCTGGAGAATGTTCATAGCTTTACAAGCTGAAGATGCTCTACTGAGCTGCACTGGAGAATATGCAAAACAAGTTTGTCAGTTCACTGTCCCTCAAAAGTGAAGGTTGGGTGTGAGTGCACCATGAAGTGACAGTTCTCCAGTCCTGCACAAACTCCTAGTGGAATTTCTGTGGAGCCACACCATGAAGGATATATGTCAGCCCAGGACAGGAAAGCCAAGACTCACATTTCAAGACTCCCTAGGGCTGTGGCAAGACAGTCAACAATTGAAGATGGGGTTTGCTGCTCAGAGAACCCAGTGAACTGACCTCCAAGCTGAATATAAAGTGTCTGAGAGACATTTCAGGACCTGAAACTGGGTGGTTTTATCTTCCTTGTTCTTTAATTCCTATTGCAACCTGGGGCACTAACTGGGACGTAAGTGCTGCTGTTCTTAGCGCCGGTTGACACTCAAGTCTTTTAAGGCAAGCTGGAGCATGTGTGCGTGTGTACAAATGTGCAGTGTCTGTGCTTGCTTCTCCCTGATGGGCTATGACCTCAGGTGTAACCTAGAACCTAGAACAAACAAGTCATCTTTACAAAATGTGTTTTGAACTGTTTGCAAGTGAAACCTAAAGTTGTAGGAAACTTTCATTTCATTGAGGGTCCAGCTGTGGTTGACACAATGTGGACAGAATGAATCTGCTCGTTTAAATGACTTGACCTTGATTGTGGTCCATTTAGTAACAGTGTTTTATTCATTAATCTACGTGGATGTGTTCTCATCCCTCACACATGGTGTTCTTCCTTTAACAAAGAATGGTTTCAGTGAAACTTTCTAGCCGGGGCTTAAGGTCAGAACCTTCTAAAGTGATAGTCTTGATAAGGGTTTTTCTTTCATGAACTATATGAAGCTTAAATAATGTTCAGTTGTGTAAAGTCTTAATTTGTGTATAATGGAATGTTATGTATAATGTAACACTGTAATAATAGAGCAAAGTTTCACTCAGGAGGAAGAGACAGGTGAATCTCCATGAGTTTGAGGCCAGCCTGGTCTACAGAGCAAGTTCCAGGACAGGCTCCAAAGCTACAGAGAAACCCTGTCTTGGAGGGGAAAAAAAAAACAAAATTTTACGGGAAATTTTATATCTTTGTTCTTGTTTAAATATACTTTTAAGATAAAGGTACAAAAACAAAAGAAGGCTATTACTAGATTCCTTACTCCTGAGCCCTCAGTGAGGACAGGTGTTCATCTTTTGATCTGCTCAGAGCCTGGCCTACAGCCTGAGTAGGGAAGGAACTGAATGACTTCCCGTCATTCCTGTGTGTGACAATGCTGATCCATTGTCCCACATCAGCTAAGCTGGCTTTCCTCACATGGGATTCTGTGGTGAGCCAGCGTCCCCACAGACGCTGTTCTGAAATGGAGTGTGTGCACAGTAAGCTGAAGAGAGAGAAGGCAGGAGGGAGAAAACCAAGTAGGCTGTTTTCCACACAACTTTGTACAGCATTCAGGACACTCTGAGAGTCCTGAATCTTCCTTTGGGAGCCAAGAGGTGTTGGATCCCACGAGTATTTGATCAAAGAATACTTTCTTTTGCAGAAACATTAAAATGTCAAGATCATACATACATATTGAGCATATTAGGCTGATACTCTAGCAAATGAAGCAAAACACTGTTGTGTATCTCTGACCCAAAAATCCAAACAAATTTTGGTGCATCTGGGATTTCAGATTTTCTGGTTGCAGGGGTGTTATAAAGACTATGCAGATATTCCAAAGCCAAACCCTGCAAAACCTAAATCCCCATGCACCTCAGATAAGCCATGTTCCCCTGTATATGTGCTACCTGCAGTTTCTCAACAGAGGACACCAGGGCCTTTGCTATTCTTTTGTTTACTAGTATCTTGGGCTCAGAGTGGGGCAGTGCTTCCTCAGAGCTTCAGCAAGCTTCCCCTGTCCCTTGAATGACTGGGATGCATTCCCCATTCCAGCCCGAATCTGCATCTGAGTCAGCCAGCCTCGCTAGACGGTAAGTAGTTATACCAGCTTTCTGTAAGGACCACACAATGCCAGGAACAGGCCAAGGCAAAGCAGACCCCAATGGAATGCAAAGCTCAATTCTGTTGACATGAGAATAGCGGAGACAAACAGGAGGTGGACACTTATCAGCTTACAGGGCCCACGGTTGGAACAGCCTGGAGACCCAGCCAGACCTGACTATCAGAGGTTTAGGACTACCCAGAAAGAGGCTTTGTGAGAACCGATATGCTAGCCACCTGCCATCTCCCTGGAGAAAACATGCTTTTGATGGGGACCGCAGCATGACACCTGTCATGGCTCAGGTTGAGGAGCAGGCTGTTGCCCAGGGATGAGCTGGCACAAAGTGACTGATACAATATGGGCTCCCCATTAGATGTGGCCACACAGCCTGGGGACTCCCAGGGACCTCTTTTCTATGCAGCTCCCTCACTTTGTGCTCAGGGCATAATGACACACACGATCTCATTTAGACCTTCTCACTTTCCAGCTCTTTGTTGACAAAGACACAATTGTTAATGCTGTTGGGGCATCGCATGACATTCATCTCCTGAAGATTGACAACCGAGAAGATGAGCTGGTGACTGGAATCAACTCTTGGTGTGCACAACTATTAGACAAGGTGAGTAATGAATGCCAAGCCACCCAGCATGCTGGCTCGAGTTTTCTAGCTACGAGAGTGTGCTATTTTCCATCAGAAACAAAGTACAGAAAAGAATTAAGGATTGTAGAATTCTGCAATAAGGACAGTGTGGCCCAGTCACACTCTTGAACCCATATACTTCATTGTGTCTGTAACTCCTGCTTGAGAGAGAGAGAGAGAGACAGAGAGAGAGAGAAGCAGTGCACGTTGTGGGTGGGGCTCTGAAGTGAACATCTTCCTTCCCTCTCTTGGGCCGCAGTAAATGATGTCAGCTGTCATAGACAGAGCACCTTGCTTTCCTTCCATTCCCCAGATTCACAAAGATGAGATCATGAGGAACCGCAAGCGAGTGAAGGAGATCAATCAATACATCGACCACATGCAGAGCGAGCTGGACAACCTGGAATGTGGTGACATTATAGACTAGGTGTCAGCCAGAGATCCCCTGATGGACCCAGCCCCCGAGAGTTATGGGAATTCCTTGGTTCATACCTCCTCCAACACCCTTGGTAATAATTCTCAATTTTAAAAAAAAGGTCTGGTGTTAGTATTCTCTTAGCAGGAGACCGCGACAGTGATCATGTATGAGCAGATCCAGAACCACCCACACCACCTACACAGGTGGCCGGCAGTCGAATGGAAGTGTGGTGATGGCAGAGTGCTAACCCCACCCATGCACGCTAGTGCTCTTCACTTGGCATAGCCAGGGAAGGCTGCAGGCAGCATCTTTCCCTACTCCGGGTGCTGAGGACCAGAGAAGTGAGAGGCTGACGCTCCTACTGCAGCACGGAGCTACAACAGCCTGGGCTGCTCCTGAAGGCAGAGGCCACAGCTCCCTTCAGCTCAGAACGTGGCTGCATGAACCTAAGTCAGGGGCTCAGCCTGGTTCTCCAGGCACATCGCCCTCCCACTAGGCACGGCAACAGGAAGCAGAGCCTGCTGCTAAGACTGTGGAGGTGACTGTGTGGAGAGGACGCTCAGGACTCCCATTGGAAGATGAAAGGAAAGATGTATGTGTTAGCTTCCCACCACTGTAACAAACACCATACACAGACAACTTGTAGAGAGAAAAGCATTATTTTGGATCTTAGTTGCACAGTTCAGTTCATGATCAGTTGGCATCATCATGGCAGGCACACAGTATGAAACCACCCACTCATGGCCAAAGAGAGAAAAGAAGAAGAAGGACGGGGGGTCTCAAGAATCCCCTTTGAGCCTGGAGAGATGGCTCAGCGGTTAAGAACATTGCCTGCCCTTCCAAAGGTCCTGAGTTCAATTCTGGCAACCACATGGTGGCTCACAACCATCTGTAATGAGGTCTGGTGCCCTCTTCTGGCCTGCAGGCATACATGTAGACAGAATACTATATACATAATAAAAAAAAGTAAATTAAAAAAAAAAGAATCCCCTTTGATAGCACATCCTTAATGACCTAAAGACCTCCATTAGGCTCTGCCACCTAATCACAAGACCCAGGGGCTTTTAGGGATAGTAGCGACTTCTTTTGGGGAGGTCATTTCTGCTTACCTTAGGTAAGAACAACAGACCAAAGAAACAATTCCATCCAAGTCCAGCATAACAACCAATGGCTTAATTAGGATGACTTACAGGAACACAGGCAATTTGCAGGCAGTCTTGCCCTCCCCCTAGAAATGGTAGATACTTACATATTCCTGGGGAGGACACGAGTCTTATCGGGCCAATCTTGTGATGGCCTCATGCGGGTAATACAGCTGCTCTGATTTCCAGATGGCAATGGTCATGCCACACCCAACGGGCAGATTTTCACATACTCTGCCCATTCCCTTGGCTCTGGCATTCTTTCCATTGCCTCTTCTGCAGTGCTCCCTGTACTCTGGTGAGCATGACTGCTAAAGATGGATGGTCATTTTCTTCCACTCAGGGCTGCATATTGGCTGCTACACCTTAATACCCACCTGTTCCCAGTAGTTTGATCAACAACCACCACTCTTTAATACGAAAAGCATTGTTAATGAAGGCCAACCACAGAAGCACAGATACTAGAATCCAATCTGAAAATCAGACTGGGGTACACACCTGTAATCCCAGGTCACATTCAGCCACATAGTGAGTTTAAGACAAGCCCGGGGTAGAGATGCTGTCTCAAAAAAAAGGGGGGAGGGAGGGGGGAGGCCAGGTGGGTAGAAAGCAAGAGCAAGGTAGAGGGGGCACACACACAATCTGACAGTAAAGCATATTCATTTAACAAGACAGCAATAGCTTCTCCACTAAAACCTGACCTCCTTTGCCACGGATCTTGGGACATAGTTTTTTTCATACCCATATATCATGCCACTATTGCAGTAGTGGCTGAATTGTGCACAGCATGCTGATAGTGTAACACATGAGGTGCACAGCTGAGCAGGATCATTGGTAAGAACTCTCCCCTGGCAGCCTGCACAGTGCTCTCCAACCTACCATCACAGCCAGTTTTGGTTCTGGCCTGCAGCCAACAGCTGTCAGAACTGTGAGTATTGCGTGTGTACCCAAGGAAGCTCCCCCACCAGCAACTCGGGGAGGAAGCCCACCCTGGCACTGGAACTTTCATAACCTTATTATGTCTTCTGGGTGTGCCTTTTACTACTCATGCAGGTGCCTTCTGAGTTGACATTCATGGTTTTGTTTGTTTCTTCTTTTCTTTTTTTCTTTTTTTTTTTTTTTGAGACATCTCACTATGTAGTAGCTCTGGCTGTCCTGGAACTCACTCTTTAGACCAGGCTAGCCTCAGAGATCTGCTTGCCTCTGTCTCCCAGGTGCTGGGATTAAATGCATGTGCCATGTCTGGTGACACTCCTGGTTTTTTTAGACACAGGCTGTTATAAGAATGTCTAAATCACCTTGTCAGGTGGCACCTGTGTCTTATCTAATCACAAAATTCGCGAAGATGTTCACAGCTGTTGCCAGGCCCTTGTATGGGTTGATTTCCTATCCTTGCTCCTCTGAGTACATGTGCATATACTTCAGATACATTTCTAAGTCTGAAAATCGTTCAGAAATTAATATTACATGATGGATCCTTTTCATAGAGTAGGCAGGTTCTCTGAAGGCCCACCAGCATCTTTTCCAAACAAGTGCCAACCTGACTAGGGATTCAGCAACCACAGACACTAGAGCATGAAAGGGTCCTGCTGCTTACGCGGTGTCCTCAAAGGAGCAAGGTTATAAAGCGGTGTGGTAGGAGGTACCGGGTTAGGTAGCTTCTGCCATCTAGATATTCTCCTAAGCCTTCATGTCTCCTCATCCTGGGCCCAATACATCTCTCCATACTAGTGAGCTCAGAGGGCCAGGTGGGAGCGGGGCCATGCTCCTCTATAATGCCAGCTTTTTAATTCAGCTGTCCAGGCAACATGCTTTTAGCAAGCACACTGGTGGCTTCTCCCGCCCCTTAGCCACACCTCAAGCCATACACTCAAGGCCAGGGCAAATTATCTCCATACCCAATATACTTTCTTATAGGTAAGGAATGTATACAGCTTTCTCTGGGAGGTGGGAGAGGGAACAAGCTTAACCTTTGATGTCTATGCTGCTTGGCCAGGTCTCCTGAGAGCTGTTCCTCAAGCTTTAATGTCTTTTAGAGGCGCGTGGGTTCTGACTTGGCAGAACTTAAAGCGCTACCTTAACAGGAAGCTTGCTGTATTATTCAGAGCTCTCTAGATATGTAAGAGAGAAAGAGAGAGAAAGGGGGTTTATTAGAATGGTTTACACGTTGTGTTCCAGCTAACCAAACAATGGCTGCCTACCATCTGGACTACATGAGACCTCCCCCTCAACAAACAAAGCAAAAACTGAAACCAAAAACAAAAATGCAAACAACATAGGAAAACCTTAGTTTTTCTGCCCTCTAAATTAAATGTCTATGTGGCAGCAGCTACTCCTCTGCTCCTCTGCCAGCCAGGAGAAACATCTACTGACTTAGGACACAAATGCAGGGCAGATAGGTCCATTTGAAAGGCCAAAGAATCCAGTAGTTGTTCAATACATGAGGCTGATGTCTCACCTGGTCTTCAGTGTTTGCTGGAATTGTGAAGAAGGCGGCTCTAATTACAGTACAGACAGAGCTTCCTTCTTCCATGTCCTTTATATAGGCTACCAGCAGAAGGCGTGGCCCAGACTAAAGCTGGATCTTTTCATCTCAAAGATCAGGATCAGAAGTGAGTCACAAATGATTTAATTAAGAAAAAAATCCCTCGCTGGTCAGTGGTAGCACATGCCTTTAATCTCAGCACTCGGGATGCAGAGGCAGGTAGATCTCTGTGACTTTGAGGCCAGCCTGGTCAATGGAGTGAGTTCCAGGACAGCAAAGGCTACACAGAGAATCCCTGCCTCAATACACCACCCCACAAAAAAGAAAAAAATGAAAAAACAAAAAAACGCAGATGTGCTATAGTTAAGTTGACAACCAGGAACAGCCGTCACACTTGCCATATTTGCTTCTGACTGAGTGAGACAGGCCCCTTTGCTTTTCTTTCTCTCTCCCCTCAATGCCTGATTTATATCCCAGTCCAAATCACATACCTCTGCCAGACACCCTCCTACCTCATGTCCCACTATAGGGGCCAATAGAGCCAAAACCCACACCAGAGACCCTGGCTGAATTAACTGCTCCTTTAAGTCCTGCACACATGGCCCTCGGATATGAGGGACTGTCAACCCACCTCTCTCACACCTAGCCTCCTCAGCAGCAGCTGTCTGTCCTTCCTCTGTTGTCCTCCAGCTCCTGATTCTCATGGGGACTGATTCCCTTGTGTTGCCTTAGGTTAAGCAACCTTGATCTAAGGGAGGGATGAGCAGTTCTATTATTCAGTTTTTGTTTCCGAAGCTCATGTGTCCCACCTCACAGCCTCATAAGCCAGGCTGTAAGACTCTTTGTTGTTTCAAAGTTTTTTCCAGAACTAGAGAGATGGCTCAGTGGTTAAGAGCACTGACTGCTCTTTCAGAGGAGCATGGTTCAATTCCCAACACCAATATAGAAGCTCACAACTGTCTCTAACTCCAGTTCCAGGGGATCCAATGCCCTCTTCTGGCCTCCACATGCACTGCATGCACATGGTGCACAGATATACATGCAAGCAAATATACATACATATAAAATTAAATTAAAATAATTTCCCCCAATTCAAGCAGTTCAAAGACAGTACTGCTAGGTATGGTGACACATACGTGTAATCCCAACACTATATCTATCTATCTATCGATCTATCTATCTATCATCTATCTATCTACCTATCTATCTATCCACACACACACATACAAACATACATGCACACACATTTACATATATGATAAAGCTTTGAGGCCAGCCTGAGCTACATAGTTCCAGACTAGCCTGGGCTATAAAGTGAGACATTATCTTAAAAAACAAACAGCCGGACAGTGGTGACACCCCCCTTTAATCTTAGCACTCAGGAGGCAGAGGCAAGAGGATCTCTGTGAGTTTAAGGCCAGCCTGATCTATGGAGTAAGTTCTAGGATAGCCAGGGCTACACAGAGAAACCATGTCTCAAAGAAAAAGAAAAAAAACAAGCAAACAAAAATAAACAACAAAAAAAACAACCACAAAGCACAAAACCCAACAGTTTATAAGAAAATTTAAATTCCTTGTTATGTTCTGTTAGGAATTACTGTTAAAATTTACTTCCAGAAGTATCTCTTCTCCTGATTAGGAATGCTTCTGAACGTGTCAGGGTATTATGCTTTTGTGCATTTCTACACATTTAACCATTTCCATCAAGTTTAATTTCTGTTTTGAACTTGATGCCTTCACCTTTTATTAGTTTTCATTATTTGAGTTTAAATCCAATAAAAATTTGGTGTATTCTCTCTCTCTCTCTCTCTCTCTCTCTCTCTCTGTCTCCAAAGTCCTCAGAATCTAACCTTTGGATAGCTCACTGCTTTCACTGTTTGCAGTATACTTATAATATCTGCTCCAGTCCAGGTATACTTTTCTGGCTAAAAACAGTCAGAGTATTCCCTGACACTAATAGTCCCCTGCACTGGACTATGAAGGCCCCATCAACATGTTAAATCATGGATTTTCCCCACTCCTTTATATGGATTGAATCTG